ATTAGAAATGGAACTACTATATGATCCAACAATCCCACTTCTGGGTATTTAACCAAAAGAACTGAAATCAAGATCTTGAAGGGATATTTGTATTTGATATTTATTGCAGCATTAGTCACAATAGCTAAGGAGTAGGAACACAGTGTCCATCAATGGATGGATGAATGGATAAAGAAAATGTAGTATGTACATACAGTGGAGTATTATGCAGCCTTAAAAAAGGAAGGAAATCCTGAAATATGCTACAACTAGGATCAACCTTGAGGACATGATGCTAAGTGAAATAGCCCCATCACAGAATGACAAATATTGCATGATCGCACATATACAAGGTATCTAAAGTAGTCAAACTCAGCAAAGCAGAAAATAGAATGGTGATTACCAGGGGCAAATGAGGAGTTGCTGTTTAATGGGTATAGGCATGCATCTTTCAGGCATGCCAGATGAAAAAGTTCTAGAGAGCTGCACATCAGATATGTATAACAATGTGCATATAATTAATAATACTGTGCAATACACTTAAAAGTTTGTTAAGAAGGCATAGTCCATGCTGTGTGTTTCTTAGCATAATGAAAACAAAAAGCAAGCAAACACACACAAAAAACCGAATGCCTGGCCCCACTCTAACCAATTAAATCGGGATATGGGGTTTGGGGGCTGAATATTCTTTTGCTGTTTTTGATTTTTTTTTTTTTAAGAGATAGAGTCTTGCCATGTTTTCCAGGCTGGAGTGCAGTGGCTGTTCACAGGCAATCATAGCTCACTACAGCTTCCTGGGTGCAAGGGATCCTCTTGCTTCAGCCTCCCAAGTAGCTGGGTCTACAGGCATGCACCACCATGCCCGGCATGCTGTCTCTCTCTTTCAGCTATGCACATTAGAGAGCTATTACACCAGCTACAGGAAACTCTCTATGAAACTACATTATCTTTTTTTAAAAAAATAATCTCCATCCCCTCTCCTATATTCCCCCCTGATAATAACTATAATACTTAATAATACCTATTTTGGTCAATGGAACCATCATCCTTTAAGTTACCTGAGCTGGAAACTTGGGTGTCATCCTAAGCTCACTCCTACCCCCAGCCATGAAACTTCCACATCTTAAACATCCATCCACCCATCTCCTTCTCTCTCTCTCTCTCTCTCTATCTCTCTCTCTCTCTCTCTCTCTCTCTTTCTCTCTCTCCCTTTCTCTCTGTCTCCCTTTCTCTCTCTCTTTCTCTCTCTCTCCCTTTCTCTCTGTCTCTCTTTCTCTCTCCCTTTCTCTCTCTGTCTCTCTCCCTTTCTCTCTCTCTCTCCCCCTTTCTCTCTCTCTCTCCCTTTCTCTCTCTCTCTCTCCCTTTCTCTCTCCCTTTCTCTTTGTCTCTCTCCCTTTCTCTCTCTCTCTCTCCCTTTCTCTCTCTCTCTCTCTCTCTCTCTCTCCACTACCACATCTTAAGGACAGGTTTTGATCTTCTCTCAAATTGAAATCTAATTACATTATTCTATCTTTGAAAAATTTCAACAAATAGCCTAAGCTTCAGAATAAGCTTTAAACCAAAGCCAATACGCTGCTTTGTCTACTCCACCTACTAAAATAAAAGAGGGAAGGGTCAAGTGAAAAGAGGTAAGCTTTACATAGTTCATTTTATATCCCCGTCACTAACATTTCTGTCTGAGTCCTTACCAAATCAAGGTGTGTGTTTTGAGTGGGCCTCGCTGTTCTAAGTGATGCGACTGACTTAGACGCAGCCCTGTGTTGTGTGTCATGCCCAACTCTGCATGACCTCAGCCTTGCAGACGGGTGCTCACCCCCGTCTTCACATGCAACCAGTGCTCTGTCATTGCCAATCTACTCTCAGTCCTCCTATGGGCCACCTCTCGATGGCATTCGAACATTTGCACAGGTTGTCCAAACTCTCTACAATATCTTCCTCCTCCCTACCTCTCTCTACCTGCCTAACTCCTCTTTGGACTTCAAGATCAGCATACGCATGCCATTAGCTTACAGTGGGGGGGGGAGACAGGGACGGTTACAGCAATAGATGCTATAACAAAGATGGCAGGCGGTGCCCAAGGGTTTTTGAACCTACATAATTTCATCTCTGAAGCTGCCTTCTGGAAGCCATCCTGACTAGCTTCACAGAGTGCATAGGGACCCACTCATTCCCTTGTCTCTGCAGGTTACCCGAAAAGGAATGCTCCAGAGGAAATGGCACAAAGCCACAGAATTTTAATTGCAGTTTAGAATGGCAGATACGAGTAAGCCAAAGTTTGCAAAATTTGCAAAACTGAGAAAGCACTATGAATTTTGCAACAATGCCAGGAATGGTTGTGAGTAGGTCCACGCAAACAAACAGGAGTCCTATAAATACAGGAAGCTACTTTTCCCACCCATCCTCAACCACTAGAACCAAAGCCAACATGCCACTTTTGCCTCTTACCCACTCGACTAGAAGGGCTAGGGGGTCAAATGAGAAGAGCTAAGCTCTATAGAGCATATTTATTCTGCATTGCTATAATTAACATTTCTTTCTGAGTACCAATCAAATTGGGGTTTGTGTTGTAAGTGGGCCTTGCTGTTCTAAATGCTGTGATTGATCTGGATGTGGCTATTGATTCGCTTTTGAGACTATTATCTATTTGACAACCAGGAAAAATGATCTTCTTTGGATCTGACCTGCCAGATTTGATTCCCAAGGAATGATGAACATCCATTAGTGGGCCCATATATATTAATGAGCAGGAGGGTGTGGAACCGAGTAGTCTGTAATTACACCCACAATTGCTTCCACATTTAAAACAAATTCTGATACTATTTGCACGCGTCATTGAAAACCAATTATTTATACAGGTTGCAATTTTGACTCATAAAAAAAACGAACATTTGTTTTATACTTTTCAAGGAGGGAAAAATGCAATGAATAGAATATAATAGGTTGTCTGAAATTATCAGTTACCAAAAATATTTCTTTTTAATCCGAGAAGGCCTGTTCAATAGGAATGTTTGCATTATTTAGTTTGTTGACTTGCTTGTAGTTATTCTTGTTAAAATTTACAAGTCCAATTATTTGACTGTGACATAGAATTGTGTCCAAAGAATTAGAGAAGCATTTGCCCACTGGTAATTAAAGTTTCTGGGGTGATAAGAATTTAGAAGATTATATAAGAGATAATAATATTATCTTCTAGTGAGTAACTGCTCCTTTAGTTTTTTTTTTTTTTTTTTGGAAAAGGGAATGATATTAACTCTTCCAGCCAGTATGTTAATTCATCCTACTCAAGTGTGAGTTGGAAGGAAGGGTTAGCTGCAGTTAATAAACACCAGCTATGCATCCAAACACCACCCTGGGAATTTAGACAAAGACGAGTAAGAAATAAATTCCTCCTCCCTCAAGAAACTCACATTTGAGTGGGCCCCAGTGTCTGAAACTTTAAAATCTCACATATAGGAAGTCGTCTCCTATCCAATATGCTCTCCGTCAGCACTAAGGAAAGCCAGGGCCCTCCAAGCCCTGGCATTAAGTATAGGGAGGATCATGAATATTTCAGAGGCTACAAAAATGTCTGCAGGCTCATAAAGTTTGGGAACTTACGGGGGAAGATTAAATGTGCTGATTGAACACACAGCTGAAGCCAGGCACGCTCATGTCTCCTGCGGCCCTTCCCACGTGGGAGGCAGGGGACGATGGGGATGGGGGGGTAGGGAAGCCACACCCACGGGGTCTGCAGTTGGGCTGGAGGCAGCCTTTGCTGTTTACTTTTTTTTTTTTTTCTGAGACAGAGTCTCACTCTGTTGCCCAGGCTAGAGTGAGTGCCGTGGCGTCAGCCTAGCTCACAGCAACCTCGAACTCCTGGGCTCAAGCGATCCTCCTGCCTCAGCCTCCCGAGTGGCTGGGACTACAGGCATGCGCCACCATGCCCGGCTAATTTTTTCTATATATATTATTGGCCAATTAATTTCTTTCTATTTATAGTAGAGACGGGTCTCACTCTTGCTCAGGCTGGTTTCGAACTCTGACCTCGGACGATCCTCCACTCGCTCCAGAGTGCTAGGATTACAGGCGTGGAGCACCGCGCCAGGCCAGCCTTTACTATTTCTTTAGCTTATGACTTTAAGCACCTTTAGGGAGCAACCTCTTGCCTTAGTTTCCACTGCAGCAAAATGGGAGTACCACTGGTCCTCACCCTACAGGGTTGTCATGAAGATTGTGAGTTAATGCTTGCAACAGGACGAGGAGGGCTTAACAGATGCAACTATAACTGTAATGATCTCAGGCACTTCTTTTTATTTTTTTGAGACAGAGTCTTGCTTTGTTGCCCAGGCTGGAGTGAGTGCCGTGGCGTCAGCCTAGCTCACAGCAACCTCAATCTCCTGGGCTCAAGCGATCCTCCTGCTCAGCCTCCTGATAGCTGGGACTACAGCATGCGCCCACCATGCCCGGCTCATTTTTTTTCTATATATATATATATTAGTTGGCCAATTAATTTCTTTCTATTTATAGTAGAGACGGGGTCTTGCTCTTGCTCAGGCTGGTTTCCAACTCTTGACCTCGAGCAGTCTTCCTGCCTCGGCCTCCCAGAGTGCTAGGATCTCGGGCACTTCTTTTTCAACCCAAATCCCTCTTTGTCTTTGGAACCCATCTCCATCAGGACCCTCTGAGACGAACTCTAGACATTTCCCGGGTCCAACTCCACAAGGAGAGGGAGAGTACAGGGAAAACTGATCCTCACTCTCTGCCTTCAGGTTGAAAATGATCTCATTCGTGGCTCATTTTATTTTTTTCCCCTGCATACTACAGCCTTTGGGAGCTTTGAAGAAATCCATCTACAAATGCAGATTGCCCTGGCAGACGCCTGTTGGAGGCTCCAGCAGAACAGGGGTAGCAAGCGGATGGCACTCTGCCCAGGGCAAGCAAAGGCTTTGCAGCTGCCTTTGTAAACACTGCACTGGGAAAGAAAAAAAAAACCACCCTGGCCCCATGCCGCCTTTTTCCCTGGGACCCTGAGAAGGGTCGCAGGTCCTTCCCCAGAGCTACATCTGCAAAAGGCACACCTGGCAGGAAGAATCTTCGATGCCCAGGCAGCTTGGCAGAGGAAGAGCTCAGAGGAGCCCAGTGCCCAGCAGCGACCTGTCCCTCTGTCAGCAGAAACTACCAGAAAGCAGATACTTTAGCCTGAGGTTTGTACAGGCCACGAAATTCTGTTTTCCACTCCGGCTTAGATGGTGGAGGCGAGGAGAATGCAGCGCAGTGAGATGAAATGGAAGCAGGTGCTACTTCCTTTCCACAACTGACATTCCAAATTTTGCTGCTTGCAGGAGCAGAGACGACAAGGAGAGAGAAAGTGGGGTTTTTCTCCGGCTGGCCCAGCTGCCCGGCGGACACAGAGTGGGACGCACGAAGGTGACTCTGTCCTTTTAAACTTTCTGGCAACCACACCTAAAACCAGGAAAGAGAAAGAGAAATTAATTTTAATAAAGTATTTGCTTTAACCCCATAGATCCGAGAGACCATCATTTTGGCAAGTAATCAATAATAAAAAAAATAATAATAATAAGATCTTTTTTACATTCTTTTTGATGCCGTCTTCGAAATCCAGTGTGTCGCAATGTGGACAAGGGACGTCGCAAGTTCTCAACAGCTACCTGTGCCTGGTGGCTCTGATTTTGGACAGAGCAGGACTAGACTCTTCTTGGAAAAGTAAGCTAAAGCAGAAACTTCCAGATTGCCAGACCGATGAAATGTCTTCCTCTTGAGCGTATTGGGATGAGCTGAGGTTCATCTTATAAGTTAATTACGGGCTTTTCAGCCCCGTCACTTGCTCTCTCTCCTGGCAATAGGAGGCAGGGGCCACTCGGACCCCAAACCCCTGGTCCTCCGTCTCTCGAGAGAAGTATCTTTTTGGTTGATGTCATTCCATTTCTAAAGTTCCCCGGGTGTTCGGTGCTAAGGTCTCTCTGGGCGTTCACACCTCCTTTTAGGAGTTGCTAGGTCTTCCCGACAGAAGGCCACATAAGGCTAAATAAGGGGCGGGAGCTGGAGAAATCCCAGATGACTTTGGAAGCATTTGCAACGTGGCAAATGCAGAGACCGGACGACTTGTGCACGTCCTTGCTAAGGCGCAGGACTGAGAAGGGACAGGTGGCACCTTCACCCAGCCTCCTAGGCTTTGCTTTCCTTCCCTTGCAAATGTTCCCAATGTTGCCACCTGTCTTTGGGAATTTATGAATCCATGACAAATAAATGTCTCCTGATCACTCTCCCAGTCTCGGGATGGTCTGGTTGAGGGCATCTCCTAGGGGGCTCTGGCTTTGGGTACGGCTCACAGAGAGGTTTCTCGTTCTCCTGAACCTCAGGAGATCTTACTGGTCTCAGCCCGAAGACTTCCACCTACAGGAAATCTCCCCCCACCACCACTAGAACAGCTGTAAAGTGAGATATGTATGCGCTCTCGTGTTCTTGCTACTTCTCATATTTTATAATCATGATCGACCCCGGGTGATTATCTGATGATCTATTCCCCCATGTGCTTCCTGTAGGCAGAAAATGGATCTGTTTTGCCCATGTCTAATGGAGATAATTTGGAATGTTATTCTCTCTCCCCAGCCCATCGAACTCTATTCTGAATTTAATATCACCCCAAGCTCAGAAAAAAACTCAGTATTTATTCAACTGTTTTGCTTCTCCTTGTTTCATTGTTGCCTTTAAACATAAACGGTCCTCCTCCGGCTCCTGGTTACAGCCCTTCCTGAAGGTGTCTCACCTAATGTGTACAGTCCCCTTTGAGCTCTGTCCCCTTTCCGTCCTCTAGCACCCAGACGTCCCCTCATGGAAGCCCTCCTCCCAGCTCCTTGCCTGATATTTCAGAGACCACTAGAATGTTCCCTCTGTCCCACGCATACACTAAGAAGTCTCTGTGTTTCCATTGCTACCTTCTCGAAGGGAAGTCCATACCCTGAAGTCCTCACCCTTTATTGTGAACAACACATCAAAATGCTTAAGGGAAAAGATTGGCGAATTAAAAGGACAGATTATAAGAAGCTTGATGTCAAGGCAACTGCAACTTCCCGTATATCCTAAGTCGGCCCAGGGCTCATTTCTCGCCATTTCCACCCATAGGCGTGACTTGTTTCAGGATCTTGCCAAATGCATAGAGGGTTTAGGAAGCTTCACGCAGGCTTCCTGTTTTCCACAGATGACACCAAACTAAAGGGCCTCCAGACACAGGGTGGTGGGTGGGCCATGATCGCAGGGAAAAGATTCAGCCTAGTGCCATCATGATGCTCTTGTCTGGAAAGATCTAGTGCCTGAGACAGCCGTCCTGGGTGGTCCCCCTGGTTTCAATGAGCATCACAATTCACTGAAAATACATCTCTGGGCAGCCTAAGGAGTCTCTGATCGAATGTAGATCCATGAAAGGAGGAACGTTCTGTTTTCTAGTCTAGGAAACGCTGGAGTGAGCTTCGTACCAGCAGGAGGTTGGGCTTGAGAAAGCAAGATCTGCTCTTGGAGAAAAAAAGCTATGCATAACCTTATCAACCCCACACGACTATTTCCAGTTGTGCAAATTCTCTTCCAGTTTGTCTTAATATGCATATTTTTTTCTAAAGTCCCTAACATGTAGCCGTTTCCTTTGAATTGTATCAATTATTTTCAGAAGAAAAGGTCTTTCTTTGTGGTCCGCAGAGAGAACAACAAATGAGACTCAGAGTGACCTGCACAGAGCTATCAGTGACAGCCTGTCCTTGTAGAACATTTTGACATCAATCCCCTGAGACAGACAGGGGAAGAACATTATAGCCATTTGCACAGATGGGGAAACTGAGTCTCAGAGCTGCTGAGAAACTAAAGAGGAGCAGAGTCAGAGCTGGAACACCTATTTCCCTACTTCGTTTACTACTCAATAAGTATCTTTTCTCTCCATTTTATTTTTAAATTTGAAGCCATAATTTATTGACCTGGAAGGACTATTCGTGGAGGGCCATTTATACAAATACAAGGTGCTGTCTTTTAGTTGCGTCATTCAAGTGACTTGAAGATCACATGAACCTAGTACTACGCTTTAGAAAGTTTGCTACAAAGAAGTTAGCATGTGTATATCTCTAGATTGTGACATTGTTTTGTGCACGTAGGGACCATGACATAGAACAGGAAAACATGATGGCTTATAACCAGGAAATCTTTCGTTGACTTGAGAATTTGTTTAGCAAGTCGCTCTAGAAAGCAGGCAAAGGGGGCAGGACAGGAATCATGTGTACAAAGAAAATGTTCTTTTTCATGCCGCAAAAAAGAGCAACATAAGAAAGAACTGTCCACACACACAAACATGAATACACGTATATTCTTTCTCCTTTTCCTCCAGGTCTTAATAAAAACCCAGAGACAGCTTCTACAAACAGTAGACCATTCCAGAAGAAAAAAGCAGATGCCCAGAACACTCCCAACCCAATTAATCAAACCCTCGACCAAGAGCACAATGGAGCCATTTTCTTTTTATTACAACAATTCATAAAATTTGAGGGAAAAAAAAAAAAAAGCTATGCATAACCTTACCAACCCAACACGACTATTTCCAGTTTTGCAAATTCTCTTCCAGTTTGTCTTAATATGCATATTTTTTCTAAAGTCCCTAACATGTAGCCATTTCCTTCGAATTGTATCAATTATTTTCAGAAGAAAAGAAGTTTAAGTTTAAATATCACATCGCACTCTTGTTCCTGTGGTGGTCATTTCATATTTATTTTGGGGGTTATTTCAGAGTGTAATCCCCCGGGGCAAAAGCTTGCTCCCCAGATTGTTAAAGGGAACCTATTAATATTGTCCTCAGGTTACCTAGGGAGCCCAGTGTTTGGTCGAGATGCAAATTTATGTGACAATATATATTTCATCATAATTTTCTTCTCGCACTTTCAAATGACTTTAATACCTAAGGCCCATCATTTGTATTAACAAATTGAAATTTATGATCATTACTTCAGAGTAAAGAGTCATCCAGGTGACATTAATAAATGCCATGTGGCACACGATGGAATTGGTACCATCAGATCATGCTGTCCGCTGTTTAAATAATGCCAGGGTTCGAGTGATTAAATTCCACTAAAGACTTGGTCATTTCAAACAAAGTGACTTAATTGATAGCATCTGGTTTGCATAATCACTCAGCCTCTCTCTGTAGTATTCTGGAGCGAGCAAGATTAGGGGATTGATAATGGCCTTCCCAGGTATAACATTTCAGAGTTGCATTTGATGGTTTGATCTCACAAGAAGATTCTTAAAAACTATGCCAATTGGGTTCTTTTTTTTTTTTTTTTTTTTCCATCTCAAAATATTTATATTCTAGTGGAGTTTCCCATCAGAGTAACTGTCATGGACGGGAAGAAAGAAGATATTTGAATTTGTCCTTGAAAAAGGGAAAAAGTATAACCACTCTCCTTTAAAAAAAATACACCAAAATCAATTTGGCTCTTGCTGGCAACTAAATTCTCTGTTATCAATGTGCAGGTCACATCTGGGATTTTCTTGAAAAATCAAGAGAGAATTACTTTTCTAATGACCCTGAATATAATCCTTCCCCAGTAAGTAGCAAAGGAGCCGACGGACAACTTATATAAATTCCAGACGTGTTTGGAAGTAGACTAATTTTCACAATTGAAAACTTTGGAAGAAGCATATATGGTTTCAGTCCTCTGACTTAAAGAAAGTACTGGAAACTTTTTAATGATTTGTGCGGTCGTTGCTCTTCTAAGGAATCCGAATACGTTATCTTTCAGCCCTGCTTTAATCTTTTATACAATTATCTTTGAGGTCTCTCACGCCCCTGGACTTTCCTAAATTTTTGAGCCTTGTTTCATGTGTTAAATTTCCTTCTTCCCCACCATGTATCCATCGACCCACCCAACTCAGCATCATTATTCACAGCACTCTGAGAGACTGCAAATGTGATGCCAAATAGATGAAGACCCTGGCCTCAAGAAACTTGGACTCAATCATCAGATGAAATTGTTATAGCATGAATTATGTGTTGCTGCAGAGGCAGAGTACTCACCATGTGTAATTGAGAGGTACGTTAAGTTTAGCAAATTTAGAAATTAAACAGGGGAGAAAGGAGGACCAGGCTATAGAATTGGGAAACTACTTGATCTGCAATTACTGCAGCGCTTACATAGTGGAATAGTTGCTGAAATAGGATTTTATATATTATTAATAATTAATGATTGGTGAAAAATAGGAATTCTATTATAATATATGATGTGAAATGATCTTATTATATTATTAAATAATTAATTGATTGGTGAACAAATAGGAACTCTTATTATATTTTAAATAATTAATTAATTAATTCGTGACTAAATCTTGGTTTCCGGTTGGCCTGAGATTAAATCCACTCCTCGTGTGTAGCTTTGTTAGCTCTACAGGGAATCTTCAAAGCCTGGAGAATTTTGAAAGGAGGAAGGGAGAGAGGGTGGATGAAGTCAAAATACATCACTTATGATCATGCATGATATGTACATTGCAAATGCATCTTGTATACCATTAGCAGGTGCTTCATTGAACTTCCAATGACCATGTTGGTCGAAATACTCCTGTGCAGGTGAAACAAACAAGAGAACGCCACTGGTTTGCACTTATCCAGACACCACCAACGAGACCCAAGGAAGTCACCTCATAAGAAAATTGAGAGAATCCTAGGGCCACGGAAGGGCTCTTGAAGCTTTCCTTGGATTTTGAAGTTTTCATTTGCTTGTTTTCAGTTTAGTTGGTTTTTTAACACAGAAAAAGTATTGAAGAAATACCTAAGGTAAGCATTGTCAACAGATTTTTCTGTTCTTAGTTTCATGCTGTGAAGTCATAAGAGTGTTAGAAGCCTAGGGAAATAAGCAGTTTCTGGAAATTCTGATGACCATAAGCATAGATTTTAGGGTTGTTTTTTGTTTGTTCTGTTTTTTTGAGAAGAGTTCACTCTGTTGCCCAGGCTAGCGTGCCGTGCATCAGCCTAGCTCACAGCAACCTCCAACTCCTGGGCTCAAGTGATCCTCTGCCTGCTC